GCGCAGGTAGACTTCAACGACTCGAGACCCTACGACGTCAGTCCAGGTACATACCAAGGGGCGAGCGGCTAGATATCGAATCACTCGTCCACCACGAGACCAGAAAACAACGTTCACTCTAACCACTACGAACCTCAGAGGATAGAACAAGGACGACACAATGGCAGGAGACCTAGGTATACCGTCCCCTACCCCCATCAACCACCCAAGCAAAGACGACCTTCCGAAACGAATCCAACGACACCACATATGCATATCTCAAAACTGGGAATATGGTGATCCACGTCTAGACGTAGACCAGGCGACAGCCACACAGATCAATGAGGCCATCGCCTACACAATGCAGTTCTATGACGAATCAGAATACCAAGATAAGACCCTCTGGCAATACTTCAAGGATGACTTTGGTCACTGGACAGAGTCGACATTCCAGAAGGGCAACACCAACCTTGTACGAGGATTTCGCGACTTTCTACGCGAAAAAGGCGTCTACTGTACTAAGGACGGAGGAGCTGTGGCAGCTAGTCTTATGCGAGTTATTCGTGAGACAACCCAGTCAGCCTGGCCTCTTGACGAAGAAGACATCAAACAAAATCATCATAGTATCTGTGACACTAGCCAAGATACTGCGTTAGCTTCTACCCCGAGAGATCTATCGCGAATCCCCAATAACGAGGACATTATCAACAAGAGAATTACCGACTTAAATAAGATGTATACCGACGACGAGAAATACAGCGGTAAGCTGTACGACTTCTTCCAGAGTAAGCTTATGCTCTTCAAAGATAAATGTCAACGCATTAGTATGCCTGAGGAAGGCCTCACACGAGCCCTTCCGACAATGCTCAAAGGAAATGCTATGGCATACTACCTAGACAGTCTAGCGGGCAATGATCTTCCATATGTCACGATGGTTACAATGATCCAAAGACGGTTCGAGACCGATAATACAACCCAGCTCTACTGGGACGAACTACGACGGACGACACTACAGACAACCATGGCTAAGAACCCTAGCAAGTCAATGATGGAAGCCCTTGAAGACCTTATCCAGACAATCCAACAGACATATCGAGGGATAAGAGGGCCTATAGTTGACGACCGGGAGATGCAAAATACATTACTGTCTGCTGTGACAGGTGTCCCGGAATGCGGAAGAGCTATCTATGACGGTGCTTCGACCTTTGAAGACCTAGCCTCTAAAATCCGTAAATCTATCCGGATTGCAGAAGACGACAAGAAGGCTATGACTCAATACCACAGTACAGCCCACTTCATCGACCGTCAATTCTATAACAACAACAGTCGGCATAACCGACCTAAGTCTACGGTCAACCGTAACCAACGGTCAAAACCAATCTGTTACGTCTGCCGGAAGGAAGGATGCTGGTCATCTAAGCATTCTAACAAGGAACAACAACAAGCTAAAGACGACTGGTTTAGCTCACGTAGACACCGAACACCTCCAACAGACAAGAAGTGGCAGACTTTTATTACCTTCTGTGAAGGTGATATTAAGGATAATAGCGGGGATGACAACAGCCGACGTGACTCTCTTAGCGAGCTTATCGACGAGTCAGAGGCCCTAGTCACTGACGATATAGAAGATGTGACAGCTACGTCACAGCACTTTACCAGCGACCTGACAAGCACGACCTTCTTCACCAAGACATCAACGCCCAATGCCACTGACATACTTGGTACGCTACAAGACCAAGCTTTTCGACATGCTTTCCTCAAGGACGACCCGTACGACGATAATAAAAGACCTGACAACGACACTTTTATCTGTGAAGACCGGTATTCCAATGAAACCTTCAGAGGGATTCTACCGGATACAGGGGCGTCAGGCGTGTCATCAGCAGGATTCCCACAGGTCCAAGCCCTACAGAGGCTCCAACCTTCCCTAAAAGTTGACAAGGCTGAGAGGCACGAAATCAAGTTTGGCAAGGGATCCGAGACTACCATAGGTGTAATACGACTACCTACAATCCTTGGGACAATCAACTTTCATGTACTTCTAACGTCGACCCCATTCCTATTCTCTATTACCGACATGGATAGATTAGGCGTATACCTGCATAACCTAGAGAACTTACTAATCCAGGGAGAGATAAAGATCCCAGTCATCCGACGGTGGGGACATCCATGGTGGATTATTGATGCTGTTACTACTACGGCCTTCTACCTAACAGAGACACAGCTCCGTCAGCTACACCGACGTTTTGGACACCCGTCAGTCAACCGACTTACGAAGATACTCCAACGGGCTGACCAGGAATTTGAGTCTGAGGCCCTTAGAAGGTTGACACAGCTATGCCGACACTGTCAGATAAACGGGAAAGCCCCTAGCAGGTTTAGGTTTACATTACGGGACGACCACGAATTCAACTACGAGATTATCGTAGACATCGTGCAGATTGACGACAAACCAGCCCTCCACATCGTTGACTCAGCTACGTCCTTTCAAGCAGCGCGCTTCCTTGACTCTAGAGGACAGAAAGCCAAGGACATCTGGGATACCTTACGAGCCTGTTGGATTGACAGCTATCTAGGACCTCCAGACTGGATAGTTCACGATGCCGGACGAAACTTCGCATCGGCTGAATTCCGGCAATACGCCCGTACTATGTCAATTGAAGTCGACGAAGTCCCCGTTGAAGCTCACAACAGCATTGGAAAAGTCGAACGATACCATGGACCACTACGGAGAGCTTACAACATCATCAAGGACGAGCTTGGTGACGCTATCACAGACGACCAAAAGCTACAAATGGCAGTCAAGGCTGTTAATGACTCTGCAGGCCCTGACGGTCTAGTACCCACGCTGCTGGTCTTCGGTGCATATCCCCGTCTGACGGACGATTCGCCACCTGCATTTACAGTAGTCCAGCGTGCTGAAGCGATCCGAAAGGCTACTAGTGAGGCCCGCAAGCTGTTAGCCAAGAGACAAGTCAACGATGCCCTTAGGACCCGGAACGGCCCTGACACGCTACCAACCCACCAACTACCACTACAATCAGACGTACGAGTCTGGCGTGAAAAAGGTGGATGGCAAGGCCCTCACAGACTTCTGGCTACTGATGGCGAGACCTGTACGGTAGAGATGCCCTATGGATCTACCAAATTCAGGACAACTATTGTCAAACCGTTTTACCATGACAAGGACGATGACAAGACCGCTAAACCGCCTCAGGACAACATATCTGACCTTGACGAGCCCGATGACGACCCTCCTGAAGTCATTGGTGATACAATTGTAATCCCACCGGCCAAAGAACGAACCCGTCGACGGACAAGAGGACCCCGTCTAGTTGATCAGATATTCACAAGCAGCATGGATGACGCCTTTATCCAAGCTATTGTAGAAGGTAAAACTATCGATATGGCCTTTATAACTGCAAAGGAAGAAGCAGACTGGCAACTATGTCTGCAGTTACGACAGGAAGGCAGGATAACAACGCCCGGTCGACCGTTTGAGCTATCAGATCGAACAGAGATTGACGCACTACAAGCCCAGGACGTCTTTAGGTTTGAGACGTACGATCCCCTTAAGCATAGGGCCGACAGACTTTTCAAAAGTCGGTTAGTACGTGAGATAAAGGGCAAAGGCACCACAACGCCCTATGAGAAGTCCAGACTTGTCATCCAAGGCCACGGCGACAACGGCAAGCATACGATACTAACACAATCTCCTACAATCCAACGAGCTAGTCAACGCCTAATTGTAGCTCTGGTACCGTCACTTGCATCGCGAGGAATCTTTCTGTGGATCAGGGACATCACCCAAGCGTACGTCCAGTCGACAACGAAGCTTAACAGAACTATCCTAGCCCGACTACCCGACCAGATTAGAGACCAATTTCCTGAAGGTACAATCATGGTCGTTGTCAAACCGCTATACGGCATAGCTGAAGCTGGAACACACTGGTGGGCAACCTACTTTAACCACCACCGTGACAACCTTCGGATGACGACTTCAACATTTGACCCATGCCTGCTTGTAACGACAACAAGAGACTGCTTTGGTATTACAGGCATGCAGACTGACGATACCCTTGGACTTGGCGACCAACGTTTCTTTGACATTGAAGAGGAACAACTAAAGAAGGCTAAGTTTACAGCTAAGCCTAAGGAAATCCTGACTCCTGACAACCTGCTACTGTTTAACGGCTGCAAAGTAACCCAAGACGCAGATGGATCGGTGACGCTTAGCCAGAAAGACCAAGGTCAGAAGCTAGAGCTAATCGACGCAAGCTTAGAGACGGCCCAGGAGGAATACGTCAAACAACGAGCCCGTGGAGCGTACATCGCGACAATCTGCCAGCCGGAGGCATCCTTTGACCTATCAACAGCAGCACAACATCAAGACCCAACTGCTGACGATATCAGAAAACTGAACAAACGACTCCAATGGCAAATTGACCATCAAGGCCGGGGATTAAGATATATCCCACTTGACCTACCGACGGCGAAACTATTCGTGTTTGTAGACGGGTCCTTTGCAAACAACAAGGACCTAAGCTCCCAGATAGGGTTCATTATCATAATTGGCAACGAGAGACAACAGGACGCAGAATTCACGCTGACCGGTAACATCGTCACATACAGCTCGACGAAGAGTAAACGTGTGACCCGAAGTGCCCTAGCGTCGGAACTCTACAGTATGGTTCAAGGTGCTGATATGGCCTATGCTATCAGTACAACCCTCGCAATGATTACGAACCAACTGGATATCCCTCAAATTCCGATTACCCTATGTACGGACTCGTTTTCACTGTACGAATGTCTTGTCAAGCTGGGTACAACCAAGGAAAAGAGGTTGATGATCGATATCATGGCCCTACGACAGTCGTACGAACGCAGAGAGATCTACGA